GTGTGAATGTGGTAGTACCTCGCCGTTGTCCACGTGACAGAATGTTAAATTACTCAATATAAATAAATAAAAAATGTTATATTATACATATAAAAAATATTTAATAGTGATAAATCGTACCAATTTTACCATGCTAAAAGGATTTCCAAATTTATTTATTTTATTATAAAGATTGTTTAACTAATTCCGAATGAAATGCATAAACGCATATGTACATAAATATATTTTTAACAATATTTTACGCATCGAATTTATATTTATTGAACTAAGAACGAATGAAAACTGTGTAAATCTCATAAAAGTTTAAAAAAAGGATGTTTTTTGAAAAAAAAAATAATAATGATAACTCGACAGACACGACAAAAATATTTCTTAAATGAAATGAAGTTTAAAAAAGAAAACCGTAATATAATAATTATTGAAGATATTAAATATAAAAATTCAAGGAAGTTTTTATTGCCAACATCTGAAAAAAAAATGTATAGAATATATTTCCAGGGTATAAACCGGAAAAGTCAGAAATTTTTTTGAATCTGGAAAAGTCAGGGAATTTTGGCAAAAAAACTTTTGGGGAGGTGGCTTCAGCCCAAAAGCTTTTAAATATATTTATATATTTTATGTATATATGAGTGTATATATGTTTCAGCTTCCAACGCCATTTCCGAGTCATTTACTAATGTATGCTGTATCCAACAACAACATAGATATTAATCCAATTATTTAGCTGTTGGATATAACATAAATTAATAGATGGCTTGAAAATTGCGGTGGAAGCCGAAACGTTGCCATGGTAGCAAAAATAATAAGGAATGGTGAAATATATACAGCCTAGTCTATTTTATTAAATATTTTATAATTAATATTAATAAACATTTGTTTTACAAACTGATTCCTCAAACGGTTGGGTTTAGCATGAAACAGTGGCCAAATTATTGTTAACTGATTTGAATCACCGTCGCTTGGTCTGCATTGCAGCACCCTGTCTCGTAATGCGGAAGTCCCTTCTTCATCGGTAATGGCAAATACATTTGTTTCAAATACAATGTTTCTAATGAATTTTACGACCAGGTTTTAGCCAATCATTATCAAAATCAAACGTAAATTTTGATCGATGAAAGGGCCAGTGAGTGAGCTCATATTAACACGCCTCAAGATTCATTTTGTGCAGCATCGGATGGCTGGATTTATCATTTCCACTATCACGGATGTCCTTTAATTTTTTTCCATTTTACACTACAATAATAATTAGTAAATTTATTTTTTTTGAAATTCGAAATCTCCTGAGATTAAAACAAAAATTCTTTAATAAGAAGGCACTGTATACTCCTGACCTATGAAAAAACTTCCATTACGTATCCACGCAGAAGTGCAATTGAGTGAAAATATTTACATGACATTTAAATATTTTTAATTTTTTAAATAATAAGGCTTAGGATTTTTTTGTACAGATACCAACAATGCAAAGGTCTATTGGCAACTTCGCAACGCTATTGACTTAATTATGTTTACCATTTGAGTTGCTACCAATTTCGTGTTGAGTAGCCTTCTGAATTTTTTTGTGTTGCCGCTCATTTGGGTCTAATATTCTGCATAGATTACATCGATTTTGAACATTTTAAAGCGTTCTTTTCCTTCGTCTAAGCAGCCACGTTTCGCATTTTTTAAGCGCGACAATGGAACTCGTCGTTTCTACATACTACTTTTGAAGTTATGCTTTACTATTCGTTATTCTAGGTTTTTTCTCCATGGTGAATATTACGCTTTTTTTTTTTTCAATATTTCGTAAACCGTTCCGGATGTCTTCACCAGAGAGATTCCTGGATTCTCATTAATTAAATATGTCGTATGGAACATAAGGCTAAATATTGGAAATGATATAATATTCTCCCTGGCGAAAAATACCCAGAACGAGTATGATAACCCAGGGAATATCTAAAAAAAACTTACAGTTTACCCTTTTATTTCACGGAATGTTTTTTGATCGGTATATTTAAGTCACGGACGAATCGTTATACGAATTAATGTTGACTTATTATGGACCTTTCGCTACCCCTGTTTGATACTTACTCCCGTATCATTTATTCGTTGATCTTTATGATAAAACACTTAGCCGCAAGTTTGACATAACGCAAGATTTAATGTTGGACTTGTGGGAGATATAACTTGTACAACTTGGCATACTCTCTCGTAACCAGGGTGCCTGCCCCGATAACCTTAGCCAAACCGGCTTAGAACCTTCCATCTCCGAGATAGTGGATCAATAGTCCACCCACAGCAGCACTGGACTATGGGCTACCATCACTTGTTCCCGGCCCGCTTTGAGGATAACATGTTTCACGCTTTGGGTACTACCGCGTTCCCCACTTTCGCTGGTAATCTTATGGACTTAAATGATATTTTAATATTATTTTTATTCTTATGAATTATTGTACTTTAATGCGCGTTTAATACAAAATTGTTGCATATAGACTAGGATCAAAGGACGATTTATTTATTTTGGTTTTAAACGTCCGATATATGAAATTTTTTTTTTTTTAAAGAAAGGAGATTATAACAAGAATTTGCGTATAATTTGTTGTCCTGTCTCGTTTTCAATAATTTAAAAACTCCATCTAAAAACAATATAAGATAAACATTTTTTAATGTCTAAATTTTCTTACTAGTAATTAAAATTTATTTTATTTATTTATTTATTGCGCTGATAAATAAAAAAAAGTTAATCTAATAATAAGCGGAAACTACACACCAGCTAGACTTTTTTGAGAAAGTTACTATATAGCTTTCAATAGGGGTAACTTTAAATTTGACACTGTAGAAAACCTCCTTAACAATGATTATAACCATGGCTTGAAATGAAATTTTAACTTATATTTTTAACAATTTCGGTATGACTGAAATCTTTATTTCAATTTTTTTTCAGTCATTTCAAAACTAGAACTTTTCCTATTGAAACTTTTCAAGTAAAGATATTATATAACTTATATTATTTAAAAGTTCCGTTGATATAGCCACTAGGTCGATCTAAAAAATTACTTTTATTTTTAGCTACTCAAACAAACGATATATTAGAATCAAGTAATTCATTTGGGATAAATTATAACTCAAAACTAAGCCTATTTATTTCTAATTGAACGTAACTTTTAACAGCTTAAATAAATCAAAGTTGAACTTTTACCAGAAACCTAGAACTTTATCATAAAAAAGTTGCTTACAACTTTTATTACGAAAGTTCTTAAAATAAAAGTTTTCAAAACTTTTTTTCATAAAAAGTTTCATAAGAACTGTTAAAATGAAGCTTTTAAAAAGTTCCATAAAAGTTTCAACCTCTGCTTATTGCTATAATTGTAATAATTTCTAATTTCACTATAAAGTTTTAATAACTATTATTATTTGTTTTCGTATTTCCGTTCCTGTTAATTAACCTTTAAAATATATGTATATTCAATTATCTATTGCCATAATAAAGCACATTTCATATTACTTACAAATTGATTTTCCATTGTTATATTACTGTGTGTCAAAATATATACAAATGAAATTTAATATATTAACGAATTATTTTTAAATTGCAGAATATTTATTTTTTAACAAATACCTACATAAAATCTAAAGCAAAATCTTCCTATTTATTTAAAAAAATATTTATACCTATTAGTCATTTCAATGTTTCAGGATTCTTTCCCATCATCTGGAACAAACTGCCATCTTTTTGTTTACATTTTTACGTGTCATTTGCTTAAAACTCCTGATAGTTTTTTTTTTTTTTCTTTTCAATTGTAGAAATATTTTGTCAGTTTGATAAATAATTGTTATATAAAATTTTCGTTATAATAATAAAAGTAAATGGGCTAGTCTCTATGTTACGTTGTGATATTACATATATATGCAATACGATATCAAATTTTGCTTCACAATTTTATTTATTTTGTAATGAGTGGTGAGATCCTCTGCTGGAACAAAATTTAAAAAAAAAATTATGTATCGAAAAAATATGTATAACCAATTGTTTTTTGATCCGGTTTTTATTGATATAATTAGTTTTTTTAATATGAACTGTAAAAATACATAACTATGAAGGTATATATTTGTCTACACATTGTTCTAAGTATTTCTAAACAAAATCCCCCCCCCCACACACCACCTATTGGTCAGTCATTTAAAGTATTATAATATTTATATAAGTATAATATTGGATTAGAGTTCTATAATAGTATTTAGGAATCTTTCCATTATACAATTTTTTTTTTTTAAGTTTGATCTTTTTTTAACTGCCAAAGCTTAATAAATGAGGGAAAAACACAAATAAATAAAAATACCAAAAAGATCTATCAAACTTTTTGTTTTGTTATGTTGATAGGCCTGTAATTAGCCAACACTGCACAGAATATTCCATACCACCGCACAGATCACTTAGTGTCATAGTTGTTACAGCTAATTTAACAGTTTATTTGATTCCATTCAGATAAAAGAGGTATTTATTTTCCAAACTTCAAAATCATTGAAGATGTCTTTTCTCTACCCACAAGAAATGATAGTTTATGTGCCGGTCCTCTTTAGAGGTAATTATTATTCTATCTACTGCTAAAAGCTCCATAAATTCAGTGGGTTTGTTTGTCACATAATCATTATTTATCTTGCAATTATTGTATTTTTATTTTTAATTGAAAAAAGGTTATATTTGGTTTATTGTATTTTCCTCAATCCTTTTATATGTTCATTTTTCGTTTGTTCATGACTTGTTTGTTAAACAAGTGACCGTATTTTCAATATAACTAAATACAAAGGATGAAGTTGATATAGGATGATGAAAGTTTGCAATTAGAGAATAATAATATCAAGTATAATAGTAATATAAAGTATTAAGTGAATACTTACAAGTATAATTAATTTTATCTGTTCAACTGTTTTCTCATAATACATTAGGTTAATTATTTTATAGTGATATTAAGAATGCTGTTGTTTAACAGATTTTTAATATATGAATTTTTCTTTGGTTTCAGGCTATGTCAACTGTAATACAAATCCTATTCAGAGCCTCACACAAATACATGGTAAGTTGTACTTATATATTTTTTGTCATACCTACCAATACAGTTTATTGTTCATTAGTGAGTATAACATTCATTAAGATATTGTAAATTAATTAAAATGTAAAACTTAATTTTGTGTTTTAGTTCTGATGGTAGGTATTATTTCAATGATCCAACTTCATTACTTTATAAGTGAATAATTTCTTTAGAATTTTAAAATACAGTCTCTGGAATAATACGTAGGGCTGGAACTAGGGAAAATCCCCCCATTGGTGACAGATTTAGAGGGCATTGAACTTTTGAGATTTTTGTTTTTGTTTTAGTTAAATGTTTCTTTCTATTTTTTAATTTTTTTGAGTTTAATTAAGTCAATAACATAGGCTAATATTATCTGTTGTTGATATTTTGAAATTCACTATCAAAAATACTGATATGAAATCCTGGCTCTGCTATATGTAAACATAAGCAGTAAATAATTTGAATTTAGTTATTACTGCCTTAACAAGGTAAATGTGGATTTTCATTTGAGATGAAAGAAAATATGAACTAATATGGGAAGTACTGTTATAATTCCGATAATTACTGATTTAAATAGTACTTATGTAATATATAAACTTTAGATAAACTTAAAAATTACCTACTTTTTAAAAATGTTTGAATCTTTAGGTAGTTTTAAATGGTTCAAAATTTGCTTCTTATATTCTTCCATTTTTCAAAACATTTTTTTTGAATAGCAAAGAAGTATTTAATTTTCTTTGAATATTATAGGTTGTATGTATAAATGAATGTTTACTTCATTTTACATAAAATAAAAAATAATCAAGTTTGACAAAATAAAATTAACAAATGTTATCAAATAAAGATAATGAACTGATAGATTAAGATGAGTCATCATGAAATATTGATTTCTTTTGTTTTTTTGTTTGTTTTTAATTTTATAATCATCTTTGTGGTGTAATCCAAGTTTATGACTATAGAGATAAAGATTCTTTTCCCAAGCTCCCTTAATTTTTTTTTTTTTTTCTTAAGATTGAAGTTTGACCAAATGATTGGTTACACATGGCCAATGTTTGAATATTCCTAAAAATATGATAAATATATTGGTTATATATATATCTATGTGATTTAAATAAAACTTTTTAGAGTGATTAAACAAGCACAACTTTGTTATCATTTGTCTGTACATAATTTTAGTACATTAGTACATTAATTTAGGAAATGAGTCATACAAATATTATTATATAGCATCTGATATGTTAAAATGAAACACATTTTTTTAAATGATTTATTTCATGTTTGTAAGGTAGATAAACACTATTTCATTTTTCTTCACTTCATATACTTATCAAAGTCATTAAGAACTATAGAAATTTTTAAATAATAAATATTTACTACAGAAACAACAATTAAGAAAGTTATGTGTTTTTTGAACAGTTAGTAAACAAATTTTTAATGTGTTAGATTAGCTGAACCAAATATTTAATTTGTTCTCACTTTTATTTTTTGAGAAGTATAATCTTTAATTTGGTAGTGCTGTTCAAATGTTTCTTCACATTGATGGGTGAGACAAGATCTTATGATCATACTATAACTGGAATTGCGAGAATAGCTGATTGTATCCAAAAGTAGACGACATAATTAAACCATCTCCTAAAGGCAGGCCCCATTTGGGATTTTTTCATACTTTTTGAAAGAACATAATGAGAGAAAGTCAAAAGCAGCGATGTAATTAAGCCCTCCTCTCCCAGGTTTAACTGAGGGACCAGTTGGAAGTTTGGATAAGTCATAATGGCAATCTAAATAAAGAGGTTATATCTGTTAACACATCAATACTCAACCATTCTCAGAATTCCATTTATATTGTGCTAATGAGATCTTGTACCCAATCATCAAAGTGGGGTAACACTTGTGCAGTAGTACTTTTAATTCTTTTTCAAATAATTTTGGCTTTGTTACATTTTTACTGTTTGTATATTATTTTTTATATATAATATTCTTTCTTATTGGTTCTAATTTTTTATTTCTGTACTGATTTGTAAATTTTAGTGTCCTTATATAGTGGCATAACAACTGCAATATTCATGATAACCATTTATTCGTTAATGATCCAGGTTAATTTTTCTTCTACATTTTCAAGTGCTTCATTATGCACAAACTTGTTACAATTATTCACTTTGATATGTCATTCAATCATGTTGTGGATTTTAATGATGTGTGATAATTTTGTTTTCTAAATGGTTATTTAAATTTTTCTCAGAAAACGTTGAATGACATATTGACATGTACTCCTTTAAGATAATACTGGTTTTAATATTTTAATTAGTTTTTAGAAAAAAAATTGTTTTTATTTATTGTATATGTATTTTTCTTCAAAATGTATATGAAGGATTAAGAATAATAAAATATAAATAAAATACTTGTTAATTGTATTTTTTTTAATTGTTCTATTTTTTTTATTTATAATTTTATTTAATGTTTTTTATAAGTAAAAAAGAAATAACGAATTATCAAGACAATATACATCAGTTTTATCTGAACAGATGTTTTGAAATCTACTCATCGACTTACTTAATATGCCCTTTTTTCTCTTATTTTTTTTTTAATGATGTAGAGATGGTTGACCGTGATATGATATGAGAAGGAGTTGATCGGGGGGTGTGGTCAAATATTTGACCGCACCCCTCCTCCCCCCCACGATCAACTTTTTCTCATTTTTTTTTAATATGTCCTGCTTTACAATATATACAATTTACAATTAATAAGATTAGTGCCATTAACATTATTATTTTTTCTGTTCTAGCAAAAAGTCCCTACTTTCCGGGTCTTGATGATCAAACTGGTTTAATGGAAGAACCAACCGGACAAATAGTTGAAGTCCATCAAACACAGTCACCTTCAAGGAACCCACCCCACACACAAGTTTCAGAATCAGGAGAACGTTATTCAAGGAAAGTATTTGTTGGGGGACTTCCACCTGATATAGATGAAGGTAAGGTATATTAGTTAATATAACTTAATCGTTCATATATATATTCTTTTCAATATTTGAGATGATTTGTTAAGTTTGGTACATTACATTTATTTTTTTTATTTGTATTATAAATTTATGCTTACATATTTTCAGATGAAATCACTGCCAGCTTCAGAAGATTTGGACCTCTTGTTGTTGACTGGCCTCACAAGGCTGAAAGTAAATCTTATTTTCCTCCCAAAGGATATGCATTCTTGTTATTTCAGGTTATTATTGTTGTTTCCATTTATTAGCTTTAGATTAATTTAAAGATTTTAAAAAATAATAAGTATCTCTGCATAATTGGAATAATATTTCATTGATGGTATTCCTAAGTATCCATAAGAAAAATCTTTTACCTTTACATTGAAAACCATCTCTGTTCTTTTATCATACAGATATTTCTTCTCAAATTTAGTTGAAAATAATGAGAGCATTATCTATTTTTCACAAAAATTCTAGTTATTGTTCATTATGTGTTTTTAAATTGTCTTTTAAAAAAATGATATAGTTTCCATATTGTGAAGATATCAAAAGTGAAAATGTTTATTAAATATTAACAACTTATTTTTGTGTAGGATGTTATGTCCAACTATCATAAAGGTGGAAAAAATTAAAACCATAAATTATTTAAAGCTACTATTGTATTTTATTAAAAAATAAATGTCTTAAATGTTATGGCAAGAGCATAAGGTGTTCACAACAAACCAAGCAATAGAAATGTACTATTCAATATTGTTTCTATCCTCTATACAAATAATCATCTCTTCTAGAATCATTATGTAAGAAAGTTCTTGATGTCAATTACATGTGATATTTTTTCAAATCTGACTTTTCTTTTGATTGACACAAATTAAATTCAATACATAGAATGTTTTGTTATAAAAATTCAAGGTCCCTGAATAAACTTTGACATGTAGAAAGTTTTGATATATGAAAGCCATCTCATGGCTATACAGGGTGTTTTGTAATTGTAGGGCACTATTTTAGGTATGTGTTCACTAACACAAATTAAACAAAAAAGTTCATATTAACATATATCTCAAACTCATTTATTAAACAGATATCAAAGGTTAAAGATTTATTATTTATTATAACTATTTATTTATTATTATTACAACATTTAGAGTAACTGTTCAAAAGAGCCTCCATTTTGTTACATTTAACATTCAGCACGACGAATCCATGCTTATCTGGCTCTTCGTATAGCATCATGATGGTGCTTGATAGTTACTGCAGTTTCCACGACCCGATTTCTTAGCTCTTCTTGCCAACTGCTGCAGAATAAACCCTAGACTTTATCCAGCCCCACACAAAATAATCTAATGGCTTTAAATCCGGAGATCGTGGTGGCCATTTAACAGGTCCGTTTCGACCAACCCATCGGTCTCCATAAGTTGCATTTAAATAATCAGTGACACTATTAGAAAATTGAGCTGGAGCACAGTCATGCATAAACCACAGCCTTGCCTAATGCCTAGAGGAATATCTTCGAGGAGTTTATGAAGATTATTTAGCAAAAAATGCAAGTAACATATACCTACAGCCTAGGTGGCAAAAAGAAGGGGCCATTGATGTTGTCGCTTAGAAGACCACACCAAACATTTAAAGGTATGTTGGTAATGTCCAACAGCAGTCGTACAAGGGTTTTCTTCAGCCCAAGTATGGGTATTTTGAAAATTAAGAATCCCATTTCTTGTGAAGCAAGATTCATCAGTAACCAAAATGCAGTTCAGGAAGTTAGGATCTCGTGTGCATTGTAGAATTAACCACTGGGAGAAATTTCTACGCATGTAATTTGTTATCATGTGGTAACAAATCTTTCCTCGAAAACTCGATACGTGAAATGGATACAATTGTTGTCAGCATAAAGTTCGCCATGCGCTGGTAGAGGAAACATCGAAACGATGTGACAATCTTCTGGTACTAGTAGTAGGAGATAACTGAACAGCATCAAGTATTTCTTCTTCAACGTTTGCAGTTCATCGAAATCTTTGTCGACCGATGTTTACTCATATAGGTTTTAGCGTGCCATTTTCCCTAAGGCGTCCTTCAGTGACCTCAAACATTTTACGATTTGGTTTTCTTCAGTTAGAAAATTTTTCACGACATTTTCAAACAGCAGCACGGTTTCTATGTACCTTGCCACAAGTTAAAAGCATGTCATTTGTTCTGCAAAAGTGAATAAATTTATGGTGTATCCCATGATAATCATAAATTGAACTGTGTCACAGTATTCACTCACACTAAAACACACAGAACTAGACAAACAGATGAGCAACTACTGTCATTGCTTATCGTTCATTTGTTTATCAGGTGATTAAAACCTATTATTTAGTATTAAACACGTTAAACTTTGTACAGTCAGTCTTAATGTAGTAAATAAATAATAAATCTTTAACCTTTGATAGCTGTTTAATAAATGAGTTTGAGATATATGTTAATATGAACTTTTTTGTCTATTTTGTGTTAGTGAACACATACCTAAAATAATGGCGTGCAATAACGAAACACCCTGTATATGTTTTGGTTTCATAATGTTGAAATGATTATAATTGAAGGGCCCAAGTAGATAAAGGTGTTAAGTAACATTTTTGAATTCCTAGAAAACTGCATTTAAATAGTCTCTATCCACTTGAATACTGACGTGTATCATCAATGAACACTTCTATAACTAATTAGTATTAACAAATATTTAATTTGTGTGAATGGAGGGAAGAAATATTTTAAAAATATCAATTTACAACTTCATTATTAGCAATAATTCAATTATTCCCAAAATGTTACTTTTCACCTTTATCCTCTTGATTCTTCAATTTTAAGTCGTTTTATGTTGATAAATTTATCAAGTACTATATAAATAGTATGATGCCATGCAAAGATTCATTACTGAATGTATTAGGAATGTTAAAAGTTCTATTATGTTTCATTAAGATGAAGAAACATACAAATTTCAAGAGACAACTACTTACCCATCTCTAAATTGTAGCTGATTGCTTATTACTTATGGTTAGTTACTTTAAAGTCAAGGACAGATTCTGTTGAATCAGATTTAAGAAATCCATTTTTTCTTCCATCAATTGGAAGTGATTTCTTCTTACTAATGAATTTGTATATCTTAATTTTTTTTTTTCTGTGGGCATTTCAGATCATGCAGATCTTTTGCCACCTTAACAAGCCTGCTCCATCTCTGCCTGTCTTGGGCTATTTCTTTCCAGTTATCTGCACACAGCTCTATTGCATCTTTGTTGATTCTATCTATTCATCTGTTTTTTTTTTGGCCTTCCATGTGGTATTTTGCCTTCTATTGGGGCAATCATTGTTACATAGAGGCTTCCAGATAGATTGCTATGAGTTACATGCCCATATCATGGGATATTGATTGACCAGTTTCTGTAAGCAGTTCTTTATTGGTCTTTCTTCTCCATGTGTTAGTACTCTGATTTCAGATCACTCCGGATATCGAGCGAAAGATTTTTCTCTCAAATCTTTGAACACTTTTTTCTAGAGTGCTGGTTAGTGTCCAGATCTCACAGCCATTTATTAGAACTGACTTTATCACATTATACACCCTTAATTTGAGACTTCTTGAGATTTTTCGGGATTTTAATACCTTTGAAAGGGAGAAGTAAGCGCTGTTTGCGCTAGTTATATGCTGGTCTATTTCTGCCCATTGATCATTCATTGATGTTATTGAGGAGCCGAGGTATTAGAATTTTTCTACTCTCAGGAATGATTTTTCTTCTATGCAGATCCTATTATTGGGGTGGAATTTTTGGCTTATTATCATATTTTTGTTTTGTCTTCATTTACTTGTTGTAGGCCGATCTGCTCTGCCTCTCTTATCAGAGTCTTAGTGAATTTTTCAATGTCCTCTTGATTATTTTCAAGGACAGCTATATCATCTGCGTAGCCAAGAATTTTATGATTCATTCCGATGTGGAACCCTCCATTTTCCTGCTATGTTCTTATTACCTTCTTCAGGCCTAAGTTGAACAACATCAGTGATAGTCTATTTCCCTGCCATAAGCCAGTTCGAATTTTGAAGGCTTCAGATCCTTCTTCTTGTATTAGAACTCTACATTTAGGGTCATTTGTACACGCCTTTGTCAATCTCACCAGCTTACCAGGTACTCATAGTTCAGTCACGATTTTCCAAAGACAGCTCCTGTTCACAGAATCATAGGCTGCTTTGAAATCAACAAACAGGGTGTGGACATTTTGAGCTACTTTCCATCATTTTTCGAGTATTTTTTTGGATGAAGATCTGGTCCAGCTTAGTGGTCACTCATTACATTTTTGTAATACGGATATATCCGGTTCAGAAGGATATTGATCATTATCTTGTAGCCAACCGGAAGGAGTGCTAAGTCTCTGTAATCACTACACTCTTACATGGAGTCTTTCTTTAGGATTAATTTAATCTCTTAATTTAAGAGTTGTGAAAATAGCATTGTTTAATAGTGTTGTTATTGTGAAAAATCAATGAAATTTGATTTACTCTCTCTGTAGAAATTGAATGGCTATAGTGTTTACATTTTTTATTATGAACAAATTTCTTCTTCTTCCAAGTCTATCTAACAAACGTAAAGGTGGATTTACACCAGAGATAATATTGCTGATAACATGAGTTATTAAGATGTTCTAACATTTTTCAGATATTTCCTCTGAAAAATGACAGTAACCTTTACTGATAGCATATTTGATTTCATTTACACCAATTCCTTAAAAATGTTGATAACATTTCACTATTGACCATTATAGAAATTAGGGATATACATGTTAATAGTAAATTTTTGTAAGCTACATGGTTGCTAACAAAAAATTTTGCTGTTGATCACAGTAAACTGTAACATTTTAATAACAAAAATGTTATTAAGATTTTACTAATGACAATGTTACTTGTATCAAGTTGTTTAAACCCACCTTGAAAGTTTTTTTTTTAATGCCTCTTGACTTTTTTTATTTCCGCCATTAGTCTTCTCGCAGCATTAGGGCTGTTCTAGGGGATAAGATGTAATCGTTTGGTTCGTTTCTTATGTAGATGATATCCAGGGAGCACGTGGTCTATAATAACCGGAAGTGATCACAATCACTCTCTCTTCATCAGGATGGTTGCAACCTTTTGCATACGTCTCTATTCTGTTGTTGTTTTTTTACAGAATAGGGTTATTAGCCCTGTGCCCAACCCCCAAAATTTGGAGGACCAAAGGAGCTATGTTATTATACACAGGGGTCGTTCTCACCTTCCTGTGAATCTCAGGGTGGGGATGTTACCGTTCCCGTATGGGAATCGAACCCGTGCCCTAGTGGTTTTAGCAATCGAGTAGGGACGGCACTTATTTATTTATTATTAATTATTTATGTTTTTTTCTTTTTTTTTTGTTATTTAATCCCGCGAACGGGGTTTAAACTTGTAGCATACAATTTTTGCAGGTGCCTTAACTCACTTGACCTCTGCGGTCTCCCACCTTGAAAGTAAAATTACATTATATCTTAAAGATGATTTTATAAGATAATGTTTGTAATTTAAAATTATATTGTAAACATAGATTTCAGTTCCCCGAGCAATATTTGAAATCTTATTTTGTAGTTCATTATAAGGTAGTAGGCCCATTATTGCTGAACCATACATAAACATCAAACAAAACATGGATATTTTGTTTTATTTCACTTCAAACCCCACCTCAACTTTTCGTAACTGTTTCCTAGATTTATAACCATGATAAACTATCTTTAATATAAAAATAAAATTATTTACTAAAGAAAGTCTTTATTTTCTTTCTGAATGAAAAAATAAAAGTTTACATAATAATAAAAAAATATTCCTCGACATCCTTAAAAATGTTGCATAGCGTTATCTCACATACTGTTACTTTTTGTTTTTTAAGCTATTGTCACTAAATTAGTTAATTCACAATATTACTCAATTCTTCTTCGGTGCATACTATTTATTTTCAAGTTAATTTATTATTAGCCATATTTACACCAATTTAAAAAAAATTTTTGTCACTTAATGACTACTCATCACAATGACGACGTTTCGGCTCGTCGAGCCATTTTCAAGTCTAAAAAATTTTTTTCATTTACAATCATATATTAACTTTAACATATTTCAAATTATAAAGATTCTTATTATGTACCTAAAATACCCATCATGTACCTGTCATTTTCACTTATGCGAATTGCAAGCGTCTACTCATAATAAAATTCCTCATTATTGTCATGTTCACCTTTAATTATTTAACAACATTATTATTACTCAATTCTTTACTATTAAATGATTCAAAATAAGTTAAATTACCTTGTTTCTGAGTCACCCACATGTCATCCATATCATGATCTATGGATGACATGGGTGACTCAGAACAAGGTAATTTAACTTATTTTGAATCATTTAATAGTAAAGAATTGAGTAATAATAATGTTGTTAAATAATTAAAGGTGAACATGACAATAATAAGGAATTTTATTATAAGTAGACGCTTGCAATTCGCATAAGTGAAAATGACAGGTACATGATGGGTATTTTAGGTACATAATAAGAATCTTTATAATTTGAAATATGTTAAAGTTAATATATGATTGTAAATGAAAAAAATTTTTTAGACTTGAAAATGGCTCGACGAGCCGAAACGTCGTCATTGTGATGAGTAGTCATTAAGTGACAAAAATTTTTTTTTAAATTGGTGTAAATATGGCTAATAATAAATTAACTTGAAAATAAATTAGTTAATTCTATTTGGAATATAATTATAAATTTCAAAAAAACAACTTTATTAAAATGCATATTACTTAAAAGAAATAGTCTTTGAGGTTTATCTTAATCTGTTATTATTAATATGCTCTCCTATATGCTTTCCCATTGTCAAATCATCTATCTAAAAATGATGTTTATTTAAATTTTTTTTAATACTTCCATTTGTGATTTTATTTTAATTTCTATTGCTATTTCAGGATGAAAGCTCTGTTCAACAACTCATTGATGCCTGTATACAGGATGAGGACAAATTATATCTTTGTGTTTCTTCTCCTACCATCAAAGATAAACCTGTTCAAATCAGACCATGGAGGCTTTCTGATGCAGATTTCGTCCTTGATGCATCTATGCCCTTGGATCCAAGAAAAACGGTTTTTGTTGGTGGTGTTCCCAGACCTTTAAAAGCTAGTAAGTGTGTTCAGTGTACCTAGCATGAAATAGAATTTCTGCAGTTGAAGTGATCAGAGTAAAAGTGAAAATATGTGTAATATATCTTAGAATCTTAGGTTGAAGCCCTCCCCCTCCTCCAAATGGTAAAATGTAACACTGTTTTATGGAAAATAATATTTAAAAATTATCTCTTAAAGTATTATTGTTCGTGTAATTATATTTAATAGGACTTCAAGTATCACTTAAACATCATTCCATACAGGTAGTTAGTTTCTTTTTTTTTTCAATGTAATTATTATTATATATATATGAAAAAAACCTATCGGGCTGAAGCCCTCACCCAAAATGAAATTCTGGTTCCACTAGTGTGGAGGAGTAACCGAATAGTAATACTTGATATAATTTAGTGATTTTTGAAGAACATTATTTAAAAAATAAGTAGGAGTTATGTTTAACTGATTCCATTTATCATGAATATTATATAATCTTGTATTTTATATACCTTGACCTCATTCTAAAAATTGATGACAGAGAAGGAGAGGGCACACATTTTTTTTTTTTCAATCTGTAAGTTAATGTATCGTAAAATTTTGATAATGATTTCACGTTGACAGAATAGAATAATAATTTTTACATTTTGAAAAATTATATAAAAAAATAAATAAATTTGTATATCTGTAGCCCTTATTTGCACTTTACAACTTTGGTTTTTTCTATAAGTAACTTGTATCTCAATTAATATTTACAATACACACAGCATATTGGTAATTGATCAAACACCAAATTAATAAGAAAATAAAATAATGCAATGTATCATAAGATAAAGAGATCAATTGTTACTTTATCAATAAATATAATCAACAAAGCAACAAAAATTAATTTAAAACTTCATTAATGTTTGGAACTAACATGTTTACTAATTTCACTAAGCTGTATCTTTGCTAAAAATTGTCCGATCTCGATGATTTTCTTTTCTTTTGTAGAGAATTTAGTAAGGAAAAAGTGTGTAATTTTTTAGTTGATCACAAATAAAGTTTCTTTTCTTTCATAACTTGTTTGCCTGAATTTTCGGGGTGATTGGACTATTTTGCCCGCCTGAAGGAGAAGGAAGCATTCAAAATTGGTGGCTCAATCTTGGGATTTGGTGAAGAATTAACGATGATATGGCTTGCCGATCAAAAATGACATCAATAAATAATATAAACTCTTCCTCTCTCGATCATAGAGGCCTCAAGTCGACAAAATAAGACATGTATTCAATGACAGTACTACAATTAACTTGAGGTTGTGTCGATGCGAACCCTATGCCTTGCGTTATCTCGAAAATAGTACATTTTTGGGCTTAAGAATGCAGAGCCTGATAGTTCCTTTGGAACTATCTGGGTCTTGCTGTACATATCGAAATCTTCAAATCCCAATTTGTCCCGTATCGATCTACAGACTTACCACTGTTCCAGTATTGAAGTCTGGCGAAATGTTTGTATCAACCTTATTCATTTTAGAAAGAAAAACGTGGAGAATACGATTCACTAACCCCCCGTGAAATTCTGAATCCAACAGTAACCCATTCATAGTATTTGAGCATGACAGGAGCTTATATTTGGTACAAAACCGATTTCGAGCCTTACTATAATAATATATGTGGGGATTTATGTTTAAAAATATATTGACGTTTATGAATGATTTGATACTTCTAGACTCCTAAAGACTGGAGGCTTACAGACATAATTTACATCAAAGAGTTAAGATCTGATTATTTTTTTTTATCATGAAAACCTCAATTCTTAATAGTTCTAAATAATATAAAAGGATATTGTTACTATAAAATTGTTAACAAAGGATGTTTATTGATTAACTTCTAATCATCAAGCTAGTATAATGGAGGTATTACAAGTTTACTTTCAGAGTTAACTTTGTTTTGTGAATTTCATTTGATTTACAATTTAATCGAAGCAATGTCTCTGGTTAATATGACTAAAGTACTCTAAAACATATCATTGACAATATAAATTTCCTTAAAATAATAAACAAATTCAGGTTATAAAATTTTAATTTATTTTCTTAATCGCAACTTTTGCTGAGTGATTTTTTTTTTGTTTGTTTGAATGTAAATTGAAATATAATTCTTTGTTTTAAAAATGAGAATGGTTGATTTTTAACTTTCTTCTTAAAATATTTGTGTATCTTAACTATTTATTTGATCTGTTTAGTCGAGCTGGCTATGATCATGGATAGACTATATGGTGGTGTGTGTTATGCCGGAATCGACACAGACCCAGAACTAAAATATCCAAAGGGTGCTGGAAGAGTTGCATTTAGCAACCAGCAAAGTTATATTGCTGCTATTAGTGCAAGATTTGTGCAATTACAGCATGGTGACATTGATAAAAGGGTAAATATTTTAATTATATTAATTTAGAAATAAAACTGATGAAATCATTATTGAATAAGTTAGTGTATATCTTTAAAATATGATATATATATATATATATATATATATATATATATATATATATATAATATAATCCATACACATTTAGAAAAATAAAGTTTAATTCACCTTTTGACTCCTGATAATTAGCACCTATTCATTAAGAAGCTCTGTTCATAAATGATTAAGACAGTTTTATCCCATAAATGTTGTAACTGCCAAGAGTTATTTATGATCACCTCTATCAGAATAACAATCTCCTACCAATATGCTATTTTTTCAGAAGTAATTTTAATTTTAAAACTCATTTAGTATATTCTCCAAATATGAATTCAAGGATCAGCCAGAACAATTATAGGAAAGGATAGTAATTCTCTATTGGTTAATATTAATTATTAATATTTCCTCAATTAAATAGTCTCTTTTTGTCACAGTATGTTTATTTGGTACAATTCTTAAAATATATTTTTATTAAAATTGCACGGCAATAAAGAGATTAAGACAGCAATATAACTTGAAGCCTGTCATAATCAGTATTACCAATAGACAAAGAAAAAAAATTTTTCTTTAGCCGACATAAGTTTCTTCTTTCTATCTCAAATTCCTAGCATATTTTTAATGTCATGTTAGTAATTTCTTCAGGAAAAAAACTATGTTTTTTTTTTTTTAATTTAAGCATGGTTTGGTAGTTTTTATCTTTTATTTATGTTTTGTTTTTTTCTGAGTGTGTAGAATTTTTACTTTAATTCTATCTCATATTCTCATTTTTTAATTTTGTTTTCCTAACATTGTTACATGGTATACACAATGTATGGAAATACATTTAAATATATAATTTTTGAAATTGATTAATAGCATGTACAGGTTGGTGCAAAAAGAAAGGTCACTTTGGAAATGAATAAAACATTTAAGATTTTTACATATTTTTGTATTTAAATTCATCATCATCATTCTGAGCTCTACAATCCATTACAGGTAGGGATGGACAACTCCAGGCAAAATGGTTCTCAGATCGAATTCAACCACTGGAACGGTTCGGAATAGAACGAGACCCTCAGAAACTTTATTCCGCTGGAACGTAATCTATGAATATAAACGTCTTTAGGTTTCGATGGGTAAATGTTTGGTAGAAAAGTCAAATAGGTACAAAACATATTAGTAGTAATTAAGGTTAGTGCGCTCATTGCCGCCAAAGTGGATTAACGAAATAGTTGAATAGCTTGTTTACTTCAAAAGTGAACCATAATGACTAAATTTAATTTAGTGTTTGATTAAATATAATTAAATAAAATATAATAATAAACTAATTATAAATAATATTAAATGAAAATTTTAATCAAATTTTATTATTATTATTAAGACCAATGATAAATATATGGTTCTATTGCGCAAATGAAATTTGTCATAGAAAATTTTATATCATCGGTATATTTGGATTTAGAAAACCCAAGATTTCATGAGAGATATTAATATTCTTTAAACATTTTAAAAGTTAAAAAAAATATCGATTTTTATTTAATTTTGGCTTTTTTTATTATTAATTTATTTGTAAGTCATATTACAATGACAGAACAAAAAATAAACAGAAGTAACAGTCTTGTTAGTCATAATAAAAATTTCTTGAACCGGTTCGATGAAACCATTCCTCCTCTGGAATGGTTCCACCGAGAACGGTCTTTTTCCTTTCGAGTGGCCTTGAATTTCCACCCTGCGACAGTTTGGAATGGTTCCACCCTGAATATTCTTTCTCTTTCCACCTGGAATGGTCTTTCTCGTTCCACCTGGAACGGTCTTTTTCGTTCTGAGGGACTTTGAAATCTCGTTCCATCTGAATCTGAATGCTTATATGTTCGATTGCATTGCGTTTTCATTCCAATCTGAGATTTCATTCTAGCATCTGTTTAGAATGATTATGATACAGATTAAAGTGTCTAAGTGTGTTGTTATTTTTAGTTTAAATTAGTAAGTCTTAAATTAATTAAATTATGTGGATAATGAAAAAAGCAAATTAGAAAACAGAAATGGATTTTTATTCATTAATATTTTTCTGTTACTTGGTGTAAGGGAATATTTAAGGAAAATTAAGACAAATATATGAATTTGACTTACCCAAAAAAATAAATTTATTAAGAAAATAAAAATAAAAACACAAGTCTATAATATAAAATTTAAAATGAATTTAAAAATCAAAACGTAAAACCTTTATATAAGTTAATTCGAAAATTGGAATTTAAAAACAGCAATTTTTACTTTACCAACTTTTTACTTATTTTTACTTTAGTCAAGTCAGCTGTTTGTTAATCAACATGCCACTTTTGAGAAGATCCAGTGACATGGAACCAAAATGGCTACTATAACTCAACATTTCTTTGACAATGGTGTACAACTTAGGATAGTTGTTCTGCAGACCAAATCATCACTTAATAGGATCCTCATTGTTTTATAAAATGTCCTTTTCTAAGTACCTGTTTAATTCAATCATTGCCTTTGATTCAGGTGTACCATTTGGAGAATGTTGCTCTCTAGCTCAGTTCGTTTTTTTTTTGTTTTCTTCATTTTTCTGTACTCCTCTCCGTTTATCTTTATTTTCCTCTGCCTCAATGATTTTTCAGTCGTTTGAAATAATTTTAGTGTTAAGTATATTTACTTCATTAATCTCTATCGGGGTTCATGTGTCGTTCGGAACGAAGATGGAATGGAATGAAAACTGGAACAAATTCCAGAGGTGGAAAATTCTGTTCAATTTCGATCTATAGTCGGAATTGCCCATCCCTAATTACAGGATCTTGAATGCCTCAAGAGTTGTCATCCACTTCTTCTGTCCTGAGCAGTTGTTCACCAGTTTCTAAATCCAAGAATTCTGGCATCGGCACTTACTCCATCTATCCATCTCAGCTTCAGTCTTCCCAATTTTCTTTTTCCATTCATGCTGAGCAGCTTCTTTAGAGTTGAGGTATCGTCCATCCATACAAACTGGCCTGCCCATCTTAGTCTTGCTATCCAGATATATTTCACCACATTTAAATTATTTATTTGAATTAAATTAAGTTATTTAAATTGCTTATATGAATTCTGTAGTTGACCCAATTTATTATGTGTAGTTAAAAATAATAACATAATATTGATCATGTAAAGAATATCTCTTGTGAAACAGATAGCCAATAGTGGAGGGAGATTAGTTTCTGTAACTGTTTGGCTGTGAGTCAATCGTAGTATCTAGTCTGCCTAGTAATGGTACTGTACAATGTTAAATACTATTTTTACAATGTTTCATCATTTAAACAAAAGTAGGACCATAGAAAGAGATGCAGTAGAAAAAGTAATGGAAAACTTTGAAATAAAAATTTTAATATGTTTACTTGAAGAGGGGGAAATTCGTTAAGTGGGAAAACCTGGCGGTTGAGTGTGATCTCGGTCAAATCACCTCCTAGCACAATCCTTGACCAAGAAACAGTACTTTCTCTAAATATTACTGAATCCAAGATCCTTCATGGGTTGTAGTGGTAAAGGTTTTTTTTTTTTTTACTTGAAGAAGGTGCATCCATGAGATGTTATTTTTCCTGCATGAACAGAATTTTTATTTTAAAACAATATGGCTAAACTACATAATTCATTTATATAAATTTTAAAAACTTATTTTTACAATTTGAGACGTTTATTTATTTCAAAAGTGACCATTCATTTTGTCCCACCCTGTACAATTTTGTTTCAAGCACAAATCTAATAAAATATTTTAATTAATTTCACCTTTAATTTATTGTTTATAATCTATTATTGATAATGATATATTGTGCTTAGGTGGAAGTAAAGCCATATGTACTCGATGATCAAATGTGTGATGAATGTCAAGGACAGAGGTGTGGAGGCAAATTTGCTCCTTTTTTCTGTGCTAATGTAACATGTCTGCAGGTAACTTATTACTCATATTTATTTAACAATTCAATTCCATTCTGAGATTATGTTAAGGTGAAGCAGTAAATGAATGGTGAATATGATTAGAAATTTTTACTATCTTAAAAAATGTTTTTTAAATTATATATTTGTCATTTCTTTGGCATTGAGACAGTTGCCTCAAGACCAGTTGTAGGTAGTAAAAACAGTTGTAGGTAGTAAAAAAGCTATCTGGATGTCTCAGAGAAATTTCAATGGATTATCTCTCTTGGATTCATAGCTAAATGATCGTCTGATACGTAATGCCTCCTGATATGGATGGGATTATATTTTTTAATAAATACTTATTTTTTTATAAACTTAAATAATAAAATTTTATTTTATGTAATTGATAGTTTTGAAAAAAAAAAAAGTGGAATTACTTGATATAGACTGAAAGCTTTTGGATTTTATATTACTATTTGTCTTTAAAATACCAATCTGTTATTACTATATTTTAAATAATTTTTATAATTTAAGAGTAGTTTATTTTATATCACATATGAATAATAAGTGATTAAGGATGTTTTCTGTATGAAACTATAACATAATATTTAAAACACTGTAAAATATTCATAATAAATATTTAAAAACTATTTTAGTAAAATAATATCCAAAATTTTTCATTTATATCAAATAATTCCACAAAACAAAGTATCAATTAGTTAAAATAAAATGAAATAATTTCATACAGAATACATTCTTAATATCACATATTATTTATATGTGATATAAAGTAAACTTTTCTTAAATAAAAAAATAATTTAAAAACAATAATAATAAATTAATGTTTTAAAGACAAATAGTCATGATTATTCAAGTGTAATGTTAAAATATACATATATATATATATATATATGTATAAGTTCACACAGGAAATCCTGCTTAACATTGAAATGCTAAGAATCATTAATAATCTCTATTTATTTGTTTATACAATATTCTTTCATGGCTATTTATTATTTTTGATAGCTAGTTAAATATATCTTTATATTAAAAGGTTTTGACTGAATGAGTTCATTGTTTTATAAACTTAAATTATAACAATAGGACGCCACCTGGACAAACGACTCTCTTGGAACCCTCATACCGGACCGAAACGACTAGAAACCGCCCGAAGTTTTTGACTACTGCAGCGCTTACTAGACAAATGCTCTAACCTTCCAACTATTTACAAAAGGCTCATATATAAGGCCTATTTAGACTTACGGGATCGAACTTTGGACCTCTACTATACCATCAAATTCCTCTGTTATTCAATCCTTACAATCCAAAATCCATTGTAAAATCCTCAATGATCCCTACTTTGTCACAAATAAAATCATCCATAACGACCATAATGTACCATATCTTTCCGATTTAGTTCAATCTAGATACCTATCCTTCCATAAAAAACTTCTGAACCATACAAACCCTCTTATTTCCAACCGTGCTTCCTCTTCTGTTCCAGATAACCCTGTGAGGCGTTCGAAAAGAAGATGGTCTCGGGACCTTCTAATACAGAAATATAATTGGAGTGCTACCAATGGGTAGTTTCTCTTCATGTTGTACATGTCATGTTACTTATTTCTTATTTACTTGTTGCATTTATTATTTAATACAGTTGTAAATTTCAATAATAAAAAAAAATAACAAGATTATATAGACTAAAATTTACTTTTTTTCATTGGTAAAAGTAAGGTAAAAAATGTTGTATAAATTATATAATTAGTAATTGGTGATTTTTAAAGTTATTTAATTTTTTTTTTGAATCAATAGTTTTTGAACTATTTTTAAACAACTAATTTATAAAGGGTTTATATTTCTTAATGTATTTATAAATAATTTTCCTTCCTAATCTTGCTATCTATAATGCAAAGGTAATAAAATTACATTGGATTATTCATCCTGATTTATAGATTTCATTTTATTCATATTTACATGTATTATGTAAATAATTTTTCATAAGAGTTTGGTATTTACTTCAATAAGACCTATTTATTTTTTTAACCCATCTCAGTAAATATGGCAACACTCACAATATGGCATATAATATGGCATATATAATATGGCAACACTCATGGCATTAAATATATATACACATACACGTGCGTGCGTGCGTGCGTGCGTGCGTGCATGCGTGAGAGAGAGAGAGAGAGAGAGAGAGAGAGAGAGAGAGAGAGAGAGAGAATGCCTATTGCATTATATGCGGCGCCGGTCTGGGGCCAGAAACTGAGACAGTCAGACATCAGATTGCTGGAGCAAGCTCAAAGGAGATCTCTCCTACTGGTGACAGGAGCGTATAGAACGGCACCCACTTCGGCTTTGCAAGTGATTACAGGACAACTGCCTATAGACCTGAAAATACAAATATCTATAGCCAAATATAGAATAAAGAGAGGAGTGCCAGCAAATGTGGGAACAAGCTGTTTTGTGTGCCCTAGTGGAAGGTACGACGAGGTAGCCGACAGAATAGAAGAACTAGTCCTTTCTGAATGGCAGAGAAGGTGGGATTCATGCGAGACTGGAAGACTGACCCATGAGTTCTTCCCAGATGTCAGGAGAAGAATCAAGAATGACTGGGTGGAGACGGATTTCTGGACTGTTCAACTCCTCACAGGCCATGGAGATATAAATGAAAAATTACATTTTTTTCATAGAAGAGCCAGTCCGAATTGTCACTGCGGGGCTGTTGAGGACGCTAGACACATAATTTTGGAATGTCCAATGTACACTGGCGCCCGACAAGCATTGGCAGGAGAGTACTCCATGTTGGAATGGCCTCCTCGGTCCCTGGACAAGCTTGTGGAGACACCTGAGATATTTGATGCCTTTAAGAAATACGCCAGGAGGATATTCCATGAAAAAATAGCAAGAGAGGAAAGATTAAACCGGTGATATACCAAATACATAAATTTATTGTTATCATAAGATTTAGAAATAGTATATATAAACTTAGTAATAGGCCCACAATAAGTAGGTAGGAAGTTACTGGAGTCCTGTTTGGTGGGAACAGCCCTCCAGTTGCAGGCAGCCCATTAGTTTAGGTTTACCCGTGATAATTAATGCCCCAATCAAACTAAAAGACCGAATTTTGCCTCACTTTGACCCAAGAATTTGGATCAAAGTGAGAGCAGACCTGCCCGCTTGGTTACCAATCCTGGTAACCGAGCCCTTTAAATTCGTGGCATATTTTTCAGTTAGAAAATTGGATGTACCGCTGGTATAGGGTTGCCCTAAGGTACAGCGGGGGGAAAGAAGGAAAAAAAAAAAAAAAAAAAAAAAAAAAAAGAAAAGAGAGAGAGAGAGTGAGTTTGTGATTGTGAATGTATATGTATATGTATATATATATATATATATATATATATATATATATATATATATATATATATATATTATATATATATATATATATATATATATATATATGTATACACATATACTAGAAATGGACATTTTGAACTAGATATAGATATGTTAGTTGTACTATGTGTAGGAAATTTAGTTTTAAAAATTAGCTAGCATTGGAATATATTCTGCAATATTATTTTGATTTATTTATTTTTTTATTGTGTGCCATTAATATTATTTTTATTTTTAGTCTCCTTCATATTTAATATGTTATTCCCATGTATGTTTCAGAATATATCTTATTCTGATTATTTGAATTTGAGGTACAAATCTATGAATGTATAATTGTTTCCATGGATTTCTTAAAAATAAATTATCCAGTCCCCATAATTGTAGTTATCTCATTATAAAAATATACTACAATATAAAAATATAAAATTGCAACTAATATTAATAAGCTTAATAAATTTGCTATTAGTATTGTTTATTCATTTATTTTTTGTTTGTTTATAGTTTAAAAGAAATTGAACAGTTAGTTGCATGAGAATAAATAATACCTATTTCTTGAAAATGGAGAGTTTGCAGTAATTGTTCTTTGACACTAAACACTCAGCATATTATAAAATTTAGGTAGGAAGCATCAGCCATTTTAGCTATGTTTGCATTTGTGGACTCAACCTAGTTAAACTTGAACTTTACCAAATATTAGTTTCAATATCATTTAGGGTTTGATTCACTTGAATTCCTTTTCCATAATTTATTTTTAGTAGAAAGGAAAACTAATTAAATAATTAATATGGAATACTGATTTATTTATATTCAAATTCTCAAAAATTAAATAAAATAAATTATCTATTTATATAAAACCATATTGGAGCATCTAAAGTAAGAGCTCTTAAACTTAAGCAGCTGAAAGCCCTCTCTTGTACAATCCTCTTGTTTTTTTGCGGACTCAGTCCCAATTAAACTTGAAAAGTTTTCTATATGTATATTCATACAACCTTTCAGTATACTTACAGATATACATACAACTTGACAGTTGTTTATTTCATAAATGGATTTAGTTCATTTAGTATATTTACACTTCTTTCAATGTTGCTGGTAGAGAACTGATTTAGATTCTCAAATTAGGATAAATTATAAAGTATAATAAAGCACAATACACATAATAATGATTTATTTTGAGTTCTAATTATATAACAGTGTAATACTGAAAACATAATGGATATTTATAGTTTTTGAAAGTGAATTTAAGCTGTCTCTTTGGTGTAATGTATAGTGTTACTGCCTATAAATTTTAGAAATAATACGAGTTTAATTACTGGGACTCTTTTAGGACTTTTAGCAAAAGGGGTTATAGTTTAGAACAGGATCCAGCAAGCATTGTAAGAATAACTGAGTAGTTACTTGAAATAAATCAATATCATTCTCTAAATAATAAAATCAAGGTTACTAGGAATAAGGTATGGCTAATTACCATACACCCAATTATCAACTACCACCATGGTGATGACTAATTTAATTAGGTAGACCTTGTCTCTTTTGAGAGATTTTAAAGTCTTTTTTTCAGTTTATAATAAGTTGACAACTTTTTTCCATAAAAAAATTAGCTTATAGTATAGTGTTCCTATTATTTTTGAGCCTTTAGT